TCCTTCCTTCCCATTATTCTTTCCTTCCTCCCTCCCTCCCCTTCTCTTTCTCCTCCCTTCCTTCCCTTCTTCTTCCTTCCTTTCCGCTATTCTTTCCTCTCTCCCCTTCTCTTTCTCCTTCCTTCCTTCCCATTATTCTTTCCTTCCTCCCTCCCTCCCCTTCTCTTTCTCCTTCCTTCTTTCCTTCCCATTATTCTTTCCTCCCTCCTCTTCTCTTTCTCCCTCCCTCCCTCCCTCCATAACCCCTTCAATTTAATTTCCCCCGTGGGTTTTTTTTTTAGCTTCTCCTCTTCCTCTCTGATCTTGCTCTCCCCCCTCCCTCCCTTTCCCACGTCCTGGGCTTTTTCGGGTCGAGAACGGTCTCTTCTTGTCAATGCATGCATGACGGGATGCCTGTGTAACCTCTACAGGTACTGGATTGAGAGAGACACAGATGCCTTGATTAGCTGGGGAGGGAGGGGAGGGAGGGGAGGGGAGGGGAGGAAGGAGGAAAGGCATCACTTTCGGGGCAGTTTCTCCTTCCTCCGTTCCTCTAAAGGTGGCCCTGTGTTTTTCATTTGTTGTTTTTTCCTCCTTCGTTTCTCCAAGACCTGATCCAATCTTTTGGGCCTCTTTCAGGCAATAGCATGTTTAATGGACATGAATGCTCTTCTTGACCGATTTCATAATTATATCTTACCGCATCTGAGAGGAGAAGACAGGGTCTGTCACTGCAACTGTGGAAGGTAAGCCCTACTTTTAGCCCCTTTGTCTCTTGGGGGGGTGGTGAGGGGTGGGACACCTCCCAGAGATGGTTTCCCTCAACCCTGGGCGGGCACCATGTCTTCAGAGGCTTAAAAAAGCCTTGGGGGGGGGGTGAGGGGTGGGACAAGGGGGGGCCTTCGGGGAGGGGAAGCCACTTTTTAGCCCTATCTCAGTGTGAAATGGTAGTTTGGGTTAAGCTTGAATTTGAAGCTTTTTTGGGGGGGGGGGTGCATTTGTTGGGTTTTCAATTGTACGACGGGCCTTGGAGGAAGGTCAGAGTTATAAAATAATGGGAAGTAAGGAAGGAGAAAGAGAAGAGGAGAAAGGAAAGAATGGGAAGGAAGAAGAGAGGGAGGGAGGGTAGGAAGAAAGGAAGGAAGGAGAAAGAAAAGAGGGGGCGGAGGAAAGAATAATGGGAGGGAGGAAAGAAAGGAAGGAGAAAGAGAAGAGGAGAAAGGAAAGAATGGGAAGTAAGAAGAGAGGGTGGGAGGGAAGCAAGAAAGGAAAGAAGGAGAAAGAAAAGAGGGGGTGGAGGAAAGAATAATGGGAGGGAGGGAGGGAAGGAAGGAGAAAGAGAAGAGGAGAAAGGAAAGAATAATGGGAAGGAAGAAGGGAGGGAGGGAGGGAAGGAAGGAAGGAGAAAGAAGAGGAGAAAGGAAAGAATAATGGGAAGGAAGAAGGGAGGGAGGGAAGGAAGGAAGGATGGAAGGAAGGAAGATTTTGGACAATTGCGTGAATGTGTTTAGTGGTAAAACGTCAGCCAGTGATGTCAAATGTTTGCATAGCACAATGGCACTTTGGATGGCCTTCAAAAGAGCTCCGAGCAAAAACAAGGTGCAGGGAAGAGGAGGCTGTTGACATTTGAGAGCCTACATCTGTAAGAGCAGTCTACCTTGTAGCAGGAATTCTGGAGGGGAAATGGGCAGGAAGGGCTCTGTTGTCCTTGCTTGAAAGTTTTCTCCCCAAGAAGCCCTGGTAGAAGAACGAGGCTGGGGAAGGGTCCAGCCTGAACTGACCCAGCAGAACTGTTCCTCCACCTCTGCTGCAGGTTTCTAGTCCACCTGGAAACCCCAGCAAGAGATGACCCTGGTTCAGTAAACAAGGTTTGTTTCCTGAAGGCAGGTTGGCTGTTGGCGTGGTCACTGGGTCATCATGGGACACAGAACCGTTTTGTTCAACTAGCCTTCCGTGGCTCATGGGATTGTTTTGTGGGCCACGTCAGCTGAGGCCTAAGTTGGGCGTCTTGGTGAGACAAAACAGTCGCCAATTGATCTCAGAAACTTCAGAAACAAACCCAAGCAGGAAGGCTGAGGGACTTTCTAACCCCGGATGAAGAAATCCCTTTTGCGTTTGGTTTCAAGCAAACAACATCTCTGTGTGAGGAGGGGGAACCAAGGCTTGCAGAGGTTGCTAGCTGCTGCAAAGTAGACTGCCCTTGCAGATGGAGGCTCTCAAACACCAACAGCCTTAACCTTTCCTTGCCGTCACCAAGGTCTGCAAAACCAGGTGCTTTTCCACCCCCAACCCCACCAAGTAGGCGTGAAGAATCCTTTCCAGGTGCAGTGCACCTGGGAACCCTGCTTTCGTGTGAACCCATTGACTGGTTTATATTGATGTGGTTAGGTTGGGGGAAAAAGGGATTTATCTTCCCATTTTAATCGAGGTGGGGTTAGGAGTTTGGGCATTCAGGTACTCCAGCCAGGCCTCGTTTTGTTAGGGATTTGTTCCGAGGGGAGGGGAGTTAAATGATGCCTTAAAGCAGATGCACAGACAGATGTGCAAGAGGAAAATTGAGTGGAACTGGAAGTGCAAAGGCTGTAAGAGTGAGTGGAATCAAGAGGAGACTCATTTTGCTTTGTTGATAATCTTAAATACAATGTTTTCCAACCTCTGCAGCTTTAAGATGGGTGGACTTCAACTCCCAGAATTCCCCAAGCCTGGCTGGGGAACTCTGGGAATTGAAGTTAATTCCTCTTAAAGCTGCAGAGGTTGGGAAACCAGACCTAGTAGGACAATTTAGTATTTGGAGGCATTGATGGCTTAACAGTTCCAGCAACTATTTCTTCTTTAGTCCCGTTTTCCATAGTCAAGGCTTAAAATCACTGACTCACTTCCTAATTCCCTACAGGACAGAGCAAATTAACAGCTTGTTGTAAAAAAAAAAATGCTGATTCCAAGCTTGATCTGGGTTTATCCAACCTTGGTCGTCCTAATTTTAACACAATTGTTGTGATCTGAAAAGATGAGGAGTGAGGGGGAAAATAGTGTGATGGAAATTGAAATAAGACTCCAACATTGGGATGGGCAGTCTTTTCCCCAGAGAAACATAAATTCTGTCGATCAAAAGCTTTCAGCAAGTAGAATGCCTATTAAAAGAGGGTAAAAGCTCTTTTCTATAAGAAAATTGGCCTGCCGTGAGGTGGTACATCAGTTCTTGATTTTTCTATATTTATATGTAGGTCTCTTGGCTGGAATAACAGAGCTAAGACATTCCTTGCCATTTGCAAATGAATGAATGCTAAGACCGCTGAAATCTTGCAACCCTCCCCCCCCCTTGAAATTGCTTAAGATTAGCAGGATGTGCTTCACGCTGTCCTAAAATACTGTCATTTGCTGAAAATTGGGAAAGGGAGGATCGGATGGTGACAAGTGACTGAAGTACACACTCAACAGAGCGGCAAGGAAGAGCAGTTTTCATTTGGCTTGTGTCCCCTTGACCAAGTCTGAATAGTTAGAGAATGAATTAAAGGCCCTTTCTCTGTCTTAGATTGTCAGTTTGGCTTATTTTTATTGTGAGAGGGCAATCCATCTGCTTTCTTGTCTTTTTTTCAACTCTGGCCTTCCTGGATGAAGACATAAATTCAGTTTGTCTTTTCCACGGAAACAGGGAATTGAAACTAGGGTATAAGATAGTGTTAGGGTAAAGGTTCTCCCTGCACATGTGTGCTAGTTGTTCCTGACTCTAGGGGGGGTTGCTCATCTCCGTTTCAAAGCCAAAGAGCCAGCGCTGTCCGAAGACGTCTCCGTGGTCATGTGGCCGGCATGACTCAACGCCAAAGGCGAACGTGGTTACCTTTCCACCAAAGGTGGTTCCTATTTTTTCTACTTGCATTTTTTACGTGCTTTCAAAGTGCTGAGTTGGCAGAAGCCGGGACAAGTAACTGGAGTTCACTCCGTTACACCGCGCTAGGGATTCGAATCGCCAACCTTTCTGATCGACGAGCTCAGCGTCTTAGTCATTGAGCCACCGTGACCCATTAAGATAGTCTTCGCTTGCGCTAAGTTTCATGTCTGAAACTCAGAGGGGCAGAAACGCGAAGACACAGCTAGGCTAATTAGGGAATGAAATATTAATGCAAACCTTTTTTTTTTTTTTTACAAAATGCAACTATTGCATTTTCTAAACCTACAAGCTCAACTTGCCTCAATTCCCAAATCACAAGCTGGGTGGGAATTTTGGAACAGTAGTTATGAAATTTGCAAAGGATAGAAACAGGAGAAAGGTCAAGAAGGAATGTTTCCCCATGCTCTCAAGGCCTGGCTTTGTATGACATTGCATTTGGCTAAGGAAGAACGGGCGCTCCTCGACTTACGACCGTCGTTGAGCCCAACATTTCTGTTGCAAAGCGAGACAGTTGTTAAGCTTCGCCCCATTTGCCGACCTTTCTTGCCACAATTAAGTGACTCACTGCAATTGTTAATACCACAGATGTTACTGTGTTTCCCTGAAAATAAGACAGGGTCTTATTGTCTTTTGACCCCTGAAATAAGCGCTTGGCCTTATTTTCGGGGAGGTCTTATTATTTTTGAGGTGCAGGAGGCGGCGAGCGTGGTCACCTCATGGCTGCTGCTGTGTTGCAATATTTTCAGAGAGGGCTTATTTTAGCACATGTGCTAAAAAGCCCGTTTGTAGTTATTATCCAGGGACGTCTTATTTTGGGGGGAACAAGGAAGTGACTCTGGCTTCCCCCTTGACTTTGCTTGTCAGAAGGGGATCACATGATCCCAGGACACTGCAAGCATCATCAGTATGAGTCAGTTTACCAAAGTGCCCGAATTTTGATCTCGTCACCATGGGGATGCTGCAACGGTTGTAAGTGTGAAAAATGGCCGTACATCACTTTTTTCAGTGCCGTTGTAACTTTTGTGTAGTCAGTAAGTGAACTCTTGTGAGTCGAGGGCCACCTGTGACTCATTTTCCCATTTTGGATCTGAAAGAAATCAAATGCACACGGCATGAAGTCCAACAGATCTCCCACACCCCCTACCCAGATTAATCCTGGTTAAATTTTTGCCAAAGACATTGTCTTGGGATTGCTTTAAGGTTCTTGCAGAAATCCAGCTCAGAAAGGCCCCTTAAATTCAGGGAACAGATTGTCCAGTTATTTATTAGAGTAAAAAACACCCAGAGCTTAGGGGGTGTTGTAAAGGTTTGTAAGCAGGGGTGGTATACCCTTCCCTTCCCTACCGGTTTGCAAATGTGAGCTGGCTTCACTTGAACGCGTCACCTCCGCACATGCACAGATCCTTCCGTGCATGTGCTTTTGGTGAAAAAAGAACCTAAATGGGATGCCATAGAGCCGGGAATGGGTGAGCGGAGACACCTGCGATTTCCGCTACCAGTTCAGGCCATCTGCTAGAATGCTACCTCTGTTTGCAAGTGTAAAAAATGGCCATCAGTTGCTTTTTTCAGTGCCGTTCAGTAACCTTGGTGGCATCCTTTTTCCTCTGCCTGTCCTAACCGAAAGCCCTACCAATTGTGGAGCCGACCGGTGACAGGGAGCCGCAGCAGAGGGATGAAGAGCCACATGCGGCTCCAGAGCCACAGGTTGCTGATCCCTGGTTCAGCCCATAGCTAAGTCAAGATCGAAGCAGGGTTTTCTTCCAGATGAAGGAGAACCTCAACTAAATGGATGCCTCCAATGATGGTGTCCATCCTCAGTTTGCTGTAGTTTGTTTCCAGTTAGGGGAATACTCAACCTGGAAAAACAACCATTATCCAGAAAGATATTTGCCAGGGATGGCAAGCCAAATGTTTCTCTTGATCATACAACTGTGATGTTCTCTTCCTCCCTCGTATCCATCTGTTTCTCTGTTTTTAATCCTGTCACCTAGGCATCATATTCATTATGTCATCCCGTACGATGGAGACCAGTCAGTGGTTGATTCTTCCGAGAACTACTTTGTGACCGACAACGTCACCAAGCAAGAAATTGATCTGATGCTGGGACTCTTGTTGGGATTCTGTATAAGCTGGTTTCTTGTGTGGATGGATGGATTGCTCCATTACGCTGTACGGGCATGGCGGACGAGCCGACGGTATGGTAAGTGGAAATCAAGTCGATGAGCCAAGATTTTGAAATGATTGCTGGCTTTGGTGAGGGAAATGGCAAGCATGGAGAATGTTTGAACCTGAGATGAACAACCACAGGACTCGAAGTTCAATCTATCTGGAAAAAAATTCCCAGGAGAGCTTTTTTTAATCCTATGGATCTAATAAAATATATTGATGATAAATTCTAGACTGATCGAACAGTGATTTTTTCCCCATGCAATCTGTTTTTACGAGATGGATAGAATTAATTTATGGAGTCTACTGAGCTCTTTTCTCTAGAAATACTTTCTTGTTTTAGAAGGCAACTGTATATGTTTTTTGGGAAAAAATGGGTCATAATGTGGGAGGCAAAAGAACCAGATTTATTTTATTTAGGGAATTTACATGCCACCTCTTTCCTCAAAAGGTCTGGTTGGGTTATAAAGATAAAAAGCAATATTTTTCAGTATAACTGATACAAATAGAAACTAAAATGTAAGCAATAAGATTGCCTGGAAAAATATATATATTTTTAGGAAAACCCTGTTTAAAATTGGAGATTAATTTAGCCAACCAATGATCCTTGACATTTGGTTTATTCTATCTTGAATACAAACTGCATTGGCCAGTTTATTTGAAGCATCCTATTTTGGGAGAACTGGAGTAGAAGAGCTAAACAGTTGGCTAGCTGGAATTTCACATCCAGCAACTAAATGAGCTTCCCAATGTATTTATTTTTTTGATACTGTTGGAGGGTTTTTCTTACCCCAATATTCAAACAGGGAACTGAGGCAGACAGCTCCCTCCTGTTGAATTTTGCAGCTCAAAATTGCTTATCTATTGGTGCCTCGTTGGAAAGAGGAAAACTTGCTGGGAATCCTGTAACTGAAGCCTTGTTTTGTCAGATCTACATGGTTAATCTCTGCTTAAAACTTCCATTTGCTTTTGGCCTGGAAGTATTCCTAATTCCAGTGCCGTTCTGGTTGGATTGAAGCTATCTTCGTGTCTAGTTCACATGTAGGAGGTTTAATTGTTGCCCACATGATTAAACTGGAACATTTTGTATGGAAGGAAACAATTGAGGGAATAATAGTTAATGCCTAGATGTTTTGCTTGGGGGGGGGGGGAGAGAAAGCCATTGTAGGTTGTCTTTGATCTACAAACATTCACTTAGCAACCAAAGTTACAAGAAGCACTAAAAAAATAGTGACTTACAAAAGGTCCTTATATTTACAGATGTGATAGCATCTTTAGAATCACCCGATAAAAATTTGGGTGCTTGGCAACCGGCAGGTATTTACACTGGTTGAAGCGCCCCCGATACACGGGGTCTTGCTATTTGCAACCTTCCTTTTCACAATTCGAGTCAGTGGGGCAAGCAAGATTCATTTAGCAACTGCATGATTCACTGAACATCATGGTAGTATGCTTAATAACTGTGTCCCTCCCAAAAAGGTTGTAAAATTAGGCATGACTTATTTAATCAACTACTTTGCTTAACAATGGAAATTCTGGTCCCCATTGCAATCATTAAGTCGAGGACTATCTGTATGGAAGTCCTTTAGAAGTAGCAATAGCACTTAGACTTGTATACCGCTTCACAGTGCTTTATTTTATCACTCTCAGAGTTCGCATATTGCCCTCAACAATGTGGGTCCTCATTTTACCCACTTTGGAAGGACGGAAGGCTGAGTCAACCTTGAGCCTGGTGAGATTCGAACTGCCAAATTGCAGGCAGCTGGCAGTCAGCAGAAGCAACCTGTAGTACCACACTCTAACCACTGTGTCAGTGTGTCTCATAGTACTGAACTTTTAGATTTAAAATATGGGATATTATAACCTAGGAGTAAGGAATCCTGGTTTCTCATAGCACCAGCCAGATATATTTGGAATTGTAGTTCAATAACATGTAAAACCTGCGATGCGGTGGCTCAGTGGCTAAGACGCTGAGCTTGTTGATCAGAAAGGTCGGCAGTTTGGTGGTTCGAATCCCTAGCACAGCATAATGGAGTGAGCTCTCGTTACTTGTCCCAGCTTCTGCCAACCTAGCAGTTCGAAAGCACGTAAAAAATGCAAGTAGGAAAATAGGGACTACTTTGGTGGGAAGATAGCGTTCCATGTGCCTTTGGCATTGAGTCATGCCGCCACATGACCACGGAGACATCGTGGGACAGTGCTGGCTCTTTGGCTTTGAAACGGAGATGAGTACTGCCCCCTAGAGTTGGGAACTACTAGCACATATGTGCAAGGGGAACCTTTACCTTTACTTTAACATGTAAAAAAATGTATATCACTAACTCATCCTGGTTGGGACTCTCTCCATAGTGATGTCTCACCAGTTGGAAGGTCATGTAGAAAGATTTTAAATGGGATTAGGTAAATTCATATAGGAGGGGGGGGCATGCATGTTTCTTTGTTAATGATATATATTTCTTCTAAAATCTGAATCTGGATGCTCTATGACCCCAGCTGTTAGAAAATCCCAACAGGAAGCTCCCTTTTTATATTTTGTGGCTTCTTCAACTTCCTTTGGAGTGGCCAGACTCTTCTCACAAAAGAACTGTGGCCCAAAATCATCAAAGGGGTTTGCCCACCCCTGTTGGAAGGATTGAATGAGGAATCTGTCTCCATCATACTGAGTCACTTTTTTGTGTGTTTTTCTCTCTCCTTTCTCAGACAATTCATGGTCTTGGTTTCCCAAATTTTGTAACTTCAAGGAGTTCCGGAAACGCCACCACAACCAGTACGACGAAGCCGCAGGAAACATGGTGCACATCAAACAGAAATTGTATCATAATGGGCACCCCAGCCCAAGACACCTTTAAGGAAACCTGGGACGGATCGGTGGCCTATTGAACATGCCTTTTGCTGTCTGTCAAGGGGAGGTGTCCAGCTGCTTACTCCCCGGTGGACGCCACTTAAAGACTCCCCCTTAGTTCCACCAACGGTGTGTCCGCAGAATTCTCTGCGCCCAGAGAATGCACAATTTCCTCCCCCATCCTGGATCCAAGGCTCACGAGACATTGCACTGTGGTTACCATTTGACTGGTGGACCTGTACATATGACGAAAGGAGACGAACAACCCAGCACAGAAAGAGTGCAAGAGAAAATTTGCATTACACTTTCCGGCCCTCGCTTCTTTTGGTGATGATAGCAAATGGCAGTCTATTTTTCTCCCCATTGGTTTTCTTTGTTGATTTGGAAGTTTTGTTTGTTGTCGTCCACATGGTCTTTGTAGATGAATTTGGCCAGATGTTGCCCTGTTTAGCCTTCGAGTACTTCCGAATCTCTGTTTCCAATTGTATCTTACCCCTCCATCCATTCGACCCCCATGAAGGTTCTTCGTTGTGCTCCGATCTCTCATTCCTAATCTAGATTTGGTTTGGATTTTAGATGGCCTGGTAGGTACAATGAGTAATCCTTTTTAAGGACCCTCTTCTGTTGAGAATAGCTTGGTTTTCTCCAGCCTCCACTTCTGCTTTGCTTTCCTTCTGAATCATAACCTAGGGAGATTTTTTTCCTCCAAATCTTGCCTGAAGAAACAGGTAGCTCTATTCTGAAAGGCAAAATCCACAACCACCAGGCTGAATGTAATCACCCGTAGGCTGGAGCGAGCTGTCTTCCAAGAAACACCAACCCAAAAGGTCCACCTTGAGAAGTTTGGTTTGAGCAGGTCATGTTAGTAAAAATATGCGTATTTAAGGTTCCCTTTAGTCTATTGGCTGATCCTGTGAATGTTTCATCCAGGTGTCTCTTAGCAAGACTGAAACTGACTCTTAGTTAGAAAAGACGGTTTAGTTTGGTGCTGTGTTGATGATGCTTCATAGAATTGTTTCAGTCTTAAGAGAGGTCAAGTTGGTTTTGGCAGGCAAAGCGTACTTCTTTCCACTTATGGTCCCTTCCTTGGATACCATGTTCATAGGTCCTTCTGTGCCATGGGCATCATAAGATCTTCGAGATAGCCTCAAGTTCCCCCATCCCATCAGCCTTGGTTAAGCATTGCCTGTGTGACGTGGCAGGATGGAGGTTGTGATCCAGAAGAATCTGGAGATCTCTCAAGCGGTCTGTCCTACACCAGGAACCATCCGAATAATGGCAACGGCCATCTTGGCGCCTCAACCCTGTTGCATTTACAAGACCATCTACCTCAGAAACTGAACTGCGCAGTGGCTTCAGTGAGAAGGGAGTTACGCAGGGAGGGGGGCGCCAGGGATACCAAGAGCCAAAAGGGCATTTGAATTGGGAATAGACCCAGTTCCAGGATTCCATCCAGTGGATCCACAGGCTGCGCTCCAGCAGAAGAAGGTTCATTGATTTGGAGGGCTTAGGAGGTTGGGCAGGTAGAGCTGCTGGGGTTCGTTGGCCATGCAAGTCAGCACAAATGCACCCCTCAATTGTGGTTTATTCAACAAATCATGGCTATATACAAGCTAGAGTTTAAGGTGATCCAGGCCGATAGTCTTCACACTGTCATCCCCCGAGATGAATGATCTCTTCTGTCTCACTGTGCATAATTGCTCACATTGGCTGAAATCATTCTTGCAATGATGGTTAAAAAAAATGCATATTTCTTACGACTGAGTCGCAGAACACGCTGGCTTTTCAAGAGGCAGGTTTCTTGTTAAGGTGTTCCTCCATCTAGGAAAGGAGGCTATCTGGAAAGCAGGCTTGAGAGCTAAGAGGCAGGTAGAAATCATGCCCGCCATACCCGTTAAACCTCTGCCTGTTTTGCAGCTCTTAAAAGCAGCCCACCCACCCACTTGTTTTTTAAGCTGATGCTGGAGAAACCTTTCTTTTTATTTCCTTCTTACAAAGCCAGATGGTGCCCAACATTTGTCTACAAGTCTACCCTGCCCATCTGAACATCCAACGTTAGGTGGCTTATAACTCTTCTTCCTGTTACTACTACTAATACAGTGGATTTGCATGCATGAATTAGGGCGTACAGAAACCTGTGCTAAACGTAGTTGTATCAGATATGATGTCATCGTGCTAAATGGGGGGATTCTGGGGGGGGGACCAGTTCTGAAAGAGAGCCCAGCATGGTGGGGTTCAAGGAGACGGAGCTGAGTTTGTTCTAGCAACCAGGCCCAGGGGGACAGAGGGGGGAAAGCAGATCATAAGTTGAGGGGAAAGCAAGTTTTAGTTTAGGGCTTCCCTGCTGCAGGGTTCTCGGAGACCGGAATTCAGGAGGGGGAAGACACACAATCTGGAGTCCTCCATGACTTGGTTCAATCCCCAGATAACATGCTCAATGGTTAGGGCATCAGGACAGACGATCAAAGAGGGCATCAGGTTGCCAACTTTTTGACTGTGTGATCTCCAAGATCTCTTCTAAAGAAATGGATGCCCTGCCTTGTTAAGTCATGTTGAGTTAACCTGTGGTTCTGGTTGGTTGGATTGCTGTGTGGTACGAACCCAGCCAACTATGTTTTAATCGATAAATCTTTATTCCACTCACCATGGCTTAGGGCTTGGCATGAACCCAGCTTGTGGTCAAAGCCCGTTGAACTCAGTGGCCTAAATCTAGACACATTTTCTTTGGAACAGAGAGGCGACTGACCAACACTAGTGCATGTCAAATTAGTTTTTATTACTTTTCTTTTCTTTTCATTAGCAGATTTTGGGTTTGAAAAAGAGCATTCCCAATTTGTTTTACTGTTACCCAGAGAATTTAAAAAAAATTGGGATAGACCCCTCCGTAGGAAAATACTGAAAATGTCTGTGATTATTCTATTGTTTGATTGCAATGTCCGTGTGATTAAAAGGAAAAATAACAATTTCACCAAAAACCCAAAATGAATGAAAGATGAGAAATTTACTGGTAACCTCGCTAATCTTATGTTTCATTTGCTAATATTTGTCAACAATTGTCTGTATGTGTGTGTGTTAGAAAGAGAGGGAGGAGGGGCGGGGAGAGATATATATGTTTAAACACACATTTTCAGAAATGCTTCAACATTTCACAATTGTGCTTTGTATATTTTTGTCATTCAAATATTTTCCACGAGATATTTAAACGCTGAAGTTCAGGGGGTTTCCTACTCCATAATTATTTTTTGGGGGGTGGGAGGGTATATTGGCAACAATGCTTGTATACTGTATCAGAAAATGTTAAAAAGAAAATTCTTGGTTCTTAGCTTTTTAAAATAATTCTCCATCCCTCCATCCCATTTGATTTAGGCAAACTACAGAAAGGTAACGTCTTCTCAGAAGCCTTTCAAAAATGGCTGACGCTCTGCTTTTAAATTTATAGTCTAAAAGACATGTCACAAAAGGAAAGGAGGTGGGAAGGGAGAAAAAAGCCCTCAAGGTAACCAGCTGGTGTAGAGAAGCGGTTTAGGAATGAACGTTTCAAACCAAGAGAAGCTTTAAGAGGCGATATCCATTTTTATTTTATCTACCATGCTACTTGGTACAGATACTGTCTGAATCGGTTGGTTAAAATGTGGAGTCAAGTTGACAAGCTGTAGAGCTAATTAAATCAGTTAAGGTTTAAATAGCTTTGCAACAACAGAGTTTATGGAAATCAGCCTGCTTTAATATTAACTGGAAATGAAACCAGCATTCTGTGATCTTTCAGACATGATGTCTGAAATGTCTTGGGGAAAAAAAGAATTTTTGACATGGGAATGGGTGGAGAGCTGGGACAGACAAGCCTCATTCTGATTTTTGTAAAGGTAAGCTGTGCCCTTTTCATTCTTGGAATTAGTCACTGTACCACTTGCCAATCTGGCGTCCTCCCAGCATGCAACACAATACTTCCCATCAGTCCCAGCCAGTATAGCCAAAGTCTGAATGTATGGCACGTTAGAATGCAATGCTATGCATCAAGCATACATTTACTCCAGATTTATAAAGTTTGCCATTGAGCACAAACCAGGCATCCTTGGTTAGACGGTAATGCAGGTAATCCTCTACTTCCAACGGTTTAGTGACCGGTCAAAGTTACAATAGCACTGGAAAAAGTGGCTGTTTTTAACACTTATATGACCCATGCAGCATCCCCATGGAGTCAAACTATTTTCCAAAGCACCTGAAGGCAGGAGAAGAAGCAATGGGTGGAAACTAATCAAGGAGAGAAGCAACTTAGAACTAAGGAGAAATTTCCTGACAATGAGAACAGTTAAATCAGTGGAACAGAAGTTGCCTCCAGAAGTTGTGAATGCTCCAACACTGGAAGTCTTTAAGATGTTGGATAGCCATTTGTCTGAAGTAGTGTAGGGTTTCCTGCCTAAGCAGGGGGTTGGACTAGAAGACCTCCAAGGTCCCTTCCAACTCTGCTATTGTATTATATTGTATGTGGTTTACATTTGGATGCTTGACAACAGACTCACATTTATGATGGTTGCCGTGTTCTGGAGTCACGTGATGCCCTTTTGCGACCTTCTGACAAGCAAAGTCAACGGGGAAGCCGGATTCATTTAACGACCGTGTGACTGACCAACTTAACAACTGCAGGGACTCACTTAACAAATGGGGCACACAAAAAAAAGAGTCGTAACATGGGGCAAAACTCACTGAACAAATTTTTCACTTAACATCACACATTTTGGGCTCAAATGTGGCCATAAGTTGAGGACTCCTTGTATTAGACCTTAGTTTTGTCAGAAGAGTATCGGAGATCACTTTGCATTCAATTAAACAAATGACATTTGTTAAGTGAATCCCTGCAGTTGTTAAATTAGGAACACGGTTTTTAAGTAAATCTGGTTTCCCCATTGACTTTGTCAATTCAATGCCTTTAGCCAACATTAACCATGCCTGTCTGTTGCCATAACACGCTTAACCCAGTCAGCTGTTACAACTGCCAAATGTCACCAGTGCCTTTGACAGCATATAATCACAGTAACATGATCAAAACTTATTGCTTTAGTAATATAAGCAATGTTCATATATTACAGATTTGATGAGAATAGAATAGAATTCTTTATTGGCCAAGTGTGATTAGATGCACAAGGAATTTGTCTTTGGTGCAGATGCTCTCTATATTATAATATTAATATAGTAAAAGGCTGTGAAAATAACTAGACCGCTAACATCCTGGACATAAATTGTTTCAACTTCTACCCTTAAAATGACGCTATAGGGCACTGCACACCAGAACAACAAGACACGAGGACAGTTTTTTCCTGAATGCCATCCCTCTGTTAAACAATTCCCACAACCTTGTCATATTACCTACTAAGACTGTATTACTATTATTCTTCTCTTTCTTCCTAATACCTCTCTCTTCCCACTTATGACTATAACCATGTTGCTTGTATCTTTAAAATTTATATTGTTTTGTTTCCTAGTATAATTTGACTGCTTATTCGTAACCTATGACGTTTTGTTTCTTATGATTCTTGACGAATATATTTTTCTTTCTTTATGTACACTGAGAGCATATGCACCAAAGGCAAATATTATAATATGATTAGTATATTGATAAGTAATGTGAGAGCTAGTTTGGTGTATTGGTGACGGTGCTGGCTTAGATACCAGGAGACAGAGAGTTCTAGTTTCACTATAGGCATGAAAGCAACTAGGTGACTTTGGGCTAGTCTCTTTCTCTCAACCCAATCCACCTCACAGAGTTGTTTTGCGGAGAAAATAGAAGGTGGGAATATTGGGTATATTTGCCTTAAGTTATATATTAGAAAAATGGGATGAAAAGACAATAATCATCCTTTGATCCTTAGTTAGGTCTTGAATTATTCAGTTTTCATCAGTTTTAAGCTGTGAACATCACTCTGGATAACCCACACTGAGTAGTAGTAGTAGTAGTAGTAGTAGTAGTAGTAGTAGTAGTAGTAGTAGTAATACCAGGACTTAAAAATCAAAATTCAACGATTATGGCACAAACCAGCAGTGGTAATTCCAGTGGTAATTGGCACACTGGGTGCTATTCCAAAAGCCCTGGAATTAC